TTGGGTTTTTTTTAAGGGGGGGGTGAGGTCCCCCCCCCCCCCCAAAAAAAAAAAAAAAAAACAAAAACAAAAAAAATTTCAAAATCAAATTCTTTCTGTATAAAACTTTAAGCTTCAGGTGTGTCTATGTCTGGTGAATTTTTGGTTAAAACAAAGCTTCATTCAGTGGGACGAGTATCCAGACATTTTATTTGAGTAATAAAAGTACTCAAAAAGTACAGAAGTACAGCTTAGTGAAAATACTGCTAAAAGTCTTCTTTTCCCCAAAAACATGACTCGCGTAAAGGCAACAGAGTAAATGTAAGAAGTTACCATCCTAAGTCCACTTTCGTAGCTTTCAGTCCTTTTTTTCTGGAAAAACATTCATGTGTTGATTAGAAAGACTTAGAAAATACTCAGTGACGACCCATCTGTAACTCCGTGGTAGAAAAGGATTATATTTTTTAAAATGTGCCGTGACGTTCTTAAGGCCTTTGGAAGAGGAACAGGCCCACAGCATCACATAACCTCCACCATGCTTAACAGAGGACATGAGTCACTTTTTCATCTGTTGTTTCACAACAGACCCATGTGGAGAGTTTGTTGCTGATGGCTGAACATAAAATGTTTTGTTTTGTTTTGTTTTTCTGGGATCACTCCCATATAACCAGTTGGCGTGTAGCTACTATAGTTCCTAAAGGCTGTTATGGAAACTTTATGATACCATTGTGCAACTTTGTGCTGCTGATCTCACAGATTTCCTAACCGTCTTGCTCACTGAGCCCAGAGGTTAGATAAATATGGGACCTCACCAAAGAAAATGGTTAAAAGAAATGTTTTTGCATTGCTGTTGTACCCAATAAATCATAGCTTTACTCATTGATCACATGCTCTGATTAGCAGAGAAAAATAAGACCTAAAATGAAGGATCATATTTATTTATAAATGGGTTCTTTGAGGTACCAGTAATTGTGCTGAGGGAGTTTTAGTTTAAGACTGTTTTTTTTTTAATATCACTGAATAAATGCACTCAAATTACATCTACTGCAAAGAGACATTTGAAAGTATAATGTCTTTCTCTCATTTATTGAAGAGGAGACCTGATCTGGCTCTTTACAGTAGTTGCTTTATCTGAAGTTCACAAGTGAAACAGTGAAAAAAAAAAGAAATGTTTCAAATAACAGAAGGAATGCTGAGTAATGTGAGGTGCAGTGCCTGGCAAAACAACTCAGAGCTCTTAAACTTTTCCACTTTTTGTTACATTTCAACCTCAGATGTTACTGGATTTTTTTTCTAAGTTTTACTTTATGGAGCAAACTGACAGAAAGTGCACAGAGAGCTGGAAGGAAAGTGGTGTGTGGTTTTGAATTTTCTTTTTCACATAAAAATCTAATAATCAGGGCCTGAAAAGGAGACTTTTGTGGATGCAGGGTAGGACAAAAGAGCAGCGAGAGAAGTTCAAACCATCTCCTCCACCGATCATATTTGGGGAGATGATGACGATACCCTCCGCTTCAACGTCTCTCTGCCCGGCTTTCTAACTGTACATCCAGACAGATTTAAAAGGGGAGTGGCAAAAAGCAAATGAGGTGGATCAGCAGCGCTCGATGACGACTGACTGAATCGTACAGGGCATGTTGCCGTTGAATATCAACTCTGCTTTCTCAGAAAATGAGCTGTAAGCAAGTTGTGACAGTCGGTCCTTCCAGATCCTTCCTGCCCACATCAACGTCCACAACAACTCTTTTAAAGATTCTACGATAATATTAGTTGCATTTACTTTCTTTTTGGGATGAATAAAACTGAACTGGCCTAAATCCCAAACACCATGTCTGGAAATCAGGCACTGCTCACCTCCTCCTTTGGCTGCAATCATCCCCCATAGTGAAGCAAGATGGCGGCAGCATGATGTTGCAGAGACGGGGAGGTGGGCAGATGAGAGGAACAGGCAAAAGAAAAAAAAAAAACACTTCCAAGCATTTATTCAAGAAGACCTGATATGGTAAATTAATACCAAAAAATGCTTTAATTATTATGCAAGTATCATTCTGTGGGAGTTTTCTTATTTTCTAAATTAAAACCTTTCCTGTTTCTCAACATGGGGTGTTGTGCGTAAGGCTTGAGAGGAGAGCTCTTAATTTGTTTTCGGAGTTTTGGAGGCTGTAACGCAACGTGGAGAAAGTGAAGCGCTCGCTGTGAATTGCTCCCAGCTGCGAGCGTGAAGACGTTTGCATGGATCAGATGTGCAGGAAACGTTTCCCTGTTGTCAAACCAACACAAACAAATAGGAATCAGCACGTGTTTCCCCTTTTCTCAGAGTATGTCGACATTTATTTATTTTTTTCTCATCAAAAGCACATTTAGACCAGCCGAAAATGAAAACACTCTCCTACATGCTTACATAAATATGATTAACCGTCTCTGAAGCTCTACGGTGGGGATCAAAGGTTAAATCCGTCATATAGATTATTTATTTGGCTTATAAAATAACAGCAGCAGCAGCAGCTTCCTGAATGGAACCAGCTGCAGCAGAGCTCCTGCAGAGCCGAGAGCCTCTGTAAAGGTTTGTATCTAGTCTGATTTCTCACCCGTCTTTCCCGTCAGCTGTGCTGAAGCTCATAGCCGTGGGCAGAGGCGTCGTCGTCATCCGGGGAAAGGCGGCAGAGCGATACCTGGCCATGAGCGCTGAAGGCCGTCTGTACGGCTCGGTGAGTGTCCAACAGCTACTTCTGACGCTCTGGAGATCCATTCAGCTTCATGTGTGGTTCCTTAAGCCTTCCTTCTCCGTCAGTCCACAGTAACCGACGAGTGCTACTTCCTGGAGAACCTGGAGGAGAACCACTACAACACGTACAAGTCTCAGAAATACCAGGACAGCAGCTGGTACGTCGGCCTGAAGAAGAACGGCAGGACTAAGCTGGGCCCAAGAACCCACATCGGACAGAAGGCCATCTTCTTCATTCCCAGACAGCTGGATGATTCCTGGGATTAGTGAGCCTCTCTAATGACGGGATGTGAGGAATGTTGAGCTCTGATGCATGAGTAGTTTACCTCTAGAGTTTTATCCTTCCTGTCAACTAACACGTCTGAGCAGCCTTTACTTAGCAGCTATTTAACTCAGCTAACTGAAACACAATCCTGATTTCACCAAACCTTGAATATCAGATAAGACCAATTATAAGTGGACTTTAAGAAGCGTTTTATTTGATAGCCTAGAAGGAAGACTGCTGACTTTGTAATTATCTAGCAGGAAGTCTTAAGACTCCCTCTACAGGGGCATAAACTACAAAACATTATTCCAAATAAAGCTAACTGTTCTGAATTGTATCAAAACATTTTGGTGGAAAGTTGAGTGGAAGGAAGAAGTGTGGGAGAAAAAAAAAACAGGAATAACCAAAGCCATCAGAAGGGATAAGCACTTCCTTTTAATAATGTAGAGATACACATCTCCAAACATGGAGAAGCAGCATTCAGCTTGTATGCACCACAAATCTAGAACAAACTTCCTGAAAATTGTAAAACAGCCGAGTTCCTTTAAATCTAGACTGTTCAGAGTTGCTTTTGCACCATAATAAATGAAACACTAACCAACATTTTTGATGTTTAATGACGACACTTGGAAAAAAAATGTATCAATTGTTGATTTTTGTGTTTTTATGATGTAAAGCACTTTGAACTGCCTTATTGCTGAAATGTGCTCTACAAATAAAATTTGATTAATTCTGTTCAGCAACTTCTGAAGCAGAGAGAGTGCTCTTCTGTGATATTTTGATTTGCATTACATGCAAGCCGATAATCAGAGCCAACAGAAACTAATACTTGAATTTTATCCATGTGCAATAAATCTATGTAAGCATATGAATGTGCCTTGTTGTATTTAATGAAATTAATCGCCTTTTGAGTAATATTCTGGTTCTTAAGAGATGTGCCTGTATGTGGAAAGGAAGAACCAGAGAAACTTTATCACTAACCAGGTTCCTGCTGAGTTTCTCTTAACTTCCCCTGTGAATAAATGAGCAAGAACCAGAACTCTTGACATTTACAGGTATATAAAACTATTCTTGTAAATTCAAAATGTTGTAGGTTCAGTGATTTAGTGACACTTAAGTTTCTGCTGATAAAAAAAAAAAAACTCAATAGAGCTTCAAGTCTTCCTTGACTTGAAGCTCTATATTTTGAGAAAAGTTGTATTGATGGGTGGGCAAAAATTAGAAAAAGATAAAAATAGACGACCCGGAGGACCCATTGAAAGTGACATTTATTTAACACTACATGATTTCTGTACAGTTACATAACAACATAACCCCAAAGTTTAGCTCTACGTCACATAGAAACAAGCGTAACTGGGCTGTAATCAAAGCCATGGCAGAAGTATGAAGTTAATGATTCAAACCGTTTCCGTGTGGTCTGGGAATAACATCGTCTGGGTTTTACCGCCGACACTTCTAGAAGTGCAGCTGAAAAGCAACGTTCTTAATTTAATTGATACCAACTTCTAACGCAGTGTGAATGAAGAAAGTTGAAAGGAAAAAAAAAAAAAAACATCTGTCAATTAAATCTTAAAGCAAAAATCCCCACCTGGAGGAGGAATTTCAGCTATTTTTGTGCTCATTATTGTGATGCAGCTGTTCAAACTGGATCATTAACAGCTGAAATCCAGACAGCTTTTTTTTTTTTTTTTTCCTTTTTCTTTTAAATCTCTGAGCTTTTCCTCCAGCAGAGATTCTCCCTGACTCACAGCGGAGTCATCTGCAGGTCAGACTGCAGCATTCAAATGAGACCTTCTCAGACAAACACCATAATTCACCAGCGCCACTGCAGCAGCTCAGAGATTTAGATGCTAGTCTGGGTGAGACGAAAACAAGAGGCTGGATTTCTTTTCAAGAGCATCTCAGGAAATTGAATTCTTCTTCCGGGTTTGGATTGTTTCACCTGCTTTAACCCGCAGCAATTATTAAAAGAAACCTCTGACAAACAGAGGTCGATCTGGTATGTTTGGATTGCAAATTACAAGCAGGCTCTCTTGTTTATCTCTCACCGAAAACGTCTGGAAATGTAAAGACAAAAGCCGCCCCCTAGCGGTTGAAGAAGGAACAGCACAGGTTAAAGCCAATAGCTGATTGAAATGCAAACGTCTCACTGGATATTAGACCGATGAAGTGAATGTTACAGAGTGTGCTGCATGTTGTGGTCAAACTACAGTGTTGCGCGAATTAGAAAACCCGTTGGCCAACATGAGCCCAGCTCTAATTAATTAACCTGGCGGCGGATGCATGCTCTTATGCTACCATCAAATCATATAAGGCAAAATACTCTTACATTACAACAGATGTAAATAGCACTTAACATTAGCCACTAATGAATAGCTAAAGGGACTATTACTGCTTACCATGTTCCATTAAAGAAATGTCTAAACAAAAGAAAAACACATGTTTTATATATTTCCTGAATATGTTACCATCTTGAGGTCGTCTTCGTCTAGAACTCGTCTGGCTGATTTCCGGTCAAGTCTCTCTTCGTGCGACTCTCGAGCGTCGTTTTGCTTCGTCTCCTCTCGCCGCCTTCCATCTGCTCGACGTGAAGAGAGGAAGAGGCCGGACAAAGATCAAAGATCCGTTTCTGCACCAGATGTTGCGTTACAGACGCGGCCGCATTTAGGTTGGCTGACACATTTATTGGCTACTCTGGTGAATGTGTGGAAAAAAAAAACAAACCCCTTAAAACAACAAATAAAAAAGAAGATTGAATTTGTAATAAATTCTGAGATGCGTTTTGGGGGAGATGTGGAGTTTCACTCTACTGGGACTTTATCTAGAACCGTTTGGTTTGATCTGTCGACATCTTCCCACGGCAAAACGTGACGAATAAACATGGTTTTTAAACTGGTCTTTTAGGAGAATCCACCCAGAAAAAGATAAAGTCAGCCTCAGTCCAACAACATAAATACTGGAGAAAACCTGGACTATGGACGATCTAGAGCTAATCCATAGTCCTGACAGAGTACAAGAGTGTTAAAACTACAAACAGACGGACTGATAAGAATCGTGGCACCAATGATTTTAGAGAGAAGAAAATAACAGAAACTTTCAGTGTTTAAAATGATGTTCCTGCCATTTTTTTTAACACATTTACCAGTTGTGCCTGTAACTCCAGCAACCAGAGTAAACCATCATCTCAGCTCGGGAGGCTAAATGAACTCACCTCTAATAGATGAAAAGCACTCTTGTTCTGGGCAGGTTGGCGTAAGCGGGATCAACCAGTTTGCGCACTCTGGAGTAGTTAACGAAGCCTCTGATGAACAGCATGAACCCTGAAATCCACAAATGATGACATAACAGACAATCTCAGACATACAACCATGAAAGAAGCAGATAAAGTTTGTTTAAACTAGAATAAAACGACTTTTAATACACAGAACGCCTCTCACTCACCCAGAGCCAGGAACACCCACCACAACCAGTACTGTCCGTCAAAGTATCCGGGGAAATAAGTGGAAAACTGCAGGAACAGAAAGAGACGCGGCGTAAAGGAGCTGCGCGCGTGATGCGCCCTGAACGGTGAGAGCGTGGAGACGGAAACGCGCTCTCACCCTGACGATGAGAACCCATTTGATGAGGGACAGGCCGAAGCCGGAAATGGCTCCGTATCGACCGGCCGCCGACGTGGTCAAACAGAACGACAGAAAGAAGCCGATCCAGTTGAAGAGGAATGCCACTGGAGGACAGAAAAATGTCCCAAATGACGTCAAGCGGGAGAAACGTTTGCCCACATGTTTGAATACAGAAAGGAACGAACGGGGAACGTCAGACGGTGTAGCGGTGAAAACAAACAAAACTAAAAAGGCATTTAAAATATGAGTCTGGAATGATGCACACTTGCTAATCAAAAAAACAACAACTAATTAACTCTGAGTGACTGTAAGATTCCTACTTTATGCGGTTGGAGGTTAAGCATGTTGAACTTAGTAACAATCATACAAAATGCTGTGAAAACGTATTTGCTCTCTTGCAGATTTTTCTAATCAAACCAATTTTAACACATAACATAAATAAATAAATACAACATGCTGACTTCAAATAAAGATTTCATTCATTAAGCAAAGGCAGCTACCCAAAAAAAAAAAAAAAAAAAACTCAGAGAAACTTCACAAAGCTCAAAGCACAAAGACTCAAACTGTTCTGCTGCATCTCGGTCTGAAGATCTCTGATCTAGACGTACGACGCCTCCTCTCTCTCTCTCGCTCTGCATCGGTTTGCCAGCAAACAATTCAAACGTCTAGACCACGTCTTACTGAAGAAAGTGAGCATGAAGATGCCGTCGTTTCCTATCCGCAGCTGGTCGGCGTCTTCGAAGTCATCTCTGGCCACAAAGTCGTCTTCCTGCAACGACAGCGGGACATGCAGTTCCAGTGACTCCCTGCTTACTTCTGCTGCCTCCCGACACGGCAGAGAGAGGAGGAGACGTACCGAGACCCTTCCGGTGACCAGGGGCACGGCGGCCTCGGCTTTGCTTCGCTCGGCCTCGTCGTAGGAGGGTAAAGTGGTGGCAACGTTGTACGACGGAGGGTTGGGAAATCTCCCTCCATCTTCCTTGTATTCATAGAAAGCTGCGGATGGATGGAACGGGTGAAGAGGGCTTTTGATCAGCGTGAAGCTTATAGGAAGAGAAAAAAATTACAAATTTGCAATGCAAAGTTTTTTTTTTTTTTTTTTTTTGCTTTCTGCAATTTCTGCCTGTTATGATGGATGTTAGTCAATCCTCCCATTCTGTCTCCCATTGGAGACCAGCCGTGCGCTCTGTGCTAGATGTCTTGTTTTTACGTACTTCAGACGGATGTAGAAGCACAAATTAGAAATGACTAGTCCTTCAGTGTTAAACTGCCATATGTAAAGTCAGAGGCTGCTGAGAAAAGATTGTACGTTTTTAATAAGTACCAGGCATTTAAATCTTGTATCTTGAATCTCTTGCAGACAATAAGCACGAGGCGAACTTTGAGACGTAAATGCAGGCATACCAGCGCTCACATCCTGAAGCTTTTGGAACATCATGTCTTGGATAGGAAGTTCATTTGACAAGATTTGAGGTCATGGTGCAGATATTTTCAAACCAGCGGTTAAATGTGTGTGAAAGCTCAGACCTGAGGTGCACCAACAGTCTGGACGGCAATTTTAAATGATTTACATCTAAGTCTGCTTTCGGGGACAAACGAAAGCTAAGAACTACAGATTATTACCTCGCTGCGGTTAAGGACCGGCTGCTGACACGAGCAGAAGAAACCTTCTTTCGCTTCCCTCTAAAAACGAAAGCAGCAGCTGAGAATTCGAAACCCTGACCTGGGTGGGATGAGTTACAGCAGGAAGAACGGCAGTAGCAGCGGACATGTCCATTACGGCCCACGCTCTCCCCCCCCCCGCCCGCCCCCCCGCCATAAAAGCCAAGACTTTTATCTGGGTCGTCTGGCTCTCATCCAGGAGTGCTCCTTTCAAACACTAACAACTCCAGTTCAGATCAATGAACTCGTCCAGGAAGAGCTCCAGGCTGCGTCCACTTACGCAACACGCGGGTTGACCTACAACCTCTAAAGACGCGAGATTAGAAACATGACACTCGCTCCACTCAGCCTACAAATCATGTTTGACATGACTTTTTTTTTTTTTTTTTTTTTTTTTTGGGGGGGGGGGTTGAATACTACTTTTTTTGTTTGACGTGTTATTTTTTTTTGGATTAGGTAATACGTAATCTAGGGCTAAGAAGAACATTCGTAGTTATTTTCCATTCATATGCATTTTAATCCTAGGATCATAGTGGTAGTATTTACTAACTTTACGGAATGTGTTCTATTTAAACTATTGATTGCCGGTCACAGAACGGCTTCGGTAAAATACTCTTGACTTTCCAGATGTAGTTGGGTTTTATGCACTCTGTGAGAATAATTGCTCTTAGAAAAAATTCATTTGAAAGATTAACGCCGTTTGCTTTTGAAGACAAGCACTTTCACTTTAGATGGCGAGTTGTCATACAGTGGTATCAATAGGACTGAGTCAATAAAACAGGGCGTTGCCTGACAGGTGGAGGTGAAGCAGAGACTTTCTTAACCTGCATCGGCTGCAGCAACGCTGCTGTAGGGAGGTGGTGCGTCCTGTCCAGAGCTCTCCTGGGAGGGCTGGGCGGGCTCCTCCTCATTCACCAGCTGTTGAAATAAAAGCACACAACAGCAATATAGCTTTTTGTCTGAACAAAACACACTATGATGCTGGATGAAAAACAATTATGTAGAAATTCTGAAAGAAAAAAAAAAAAACACATCTTCACTATTGCTGACTGCAATGTGATATTTAATGTAAATAGGATTGTTTATCTTACTGAACATTGTAGCTATCCAGAGAAGATGTGTTTACTTTAAGCAGGAAAAGGACAAATGTTTATTTATTAGTCAGGATCACTTTCTGGTTCCCTCATCTTGTGGAAAATTGCGAAACACAAAGTAATTTAAACTTGAAACACTTTATCTTAATAGGATACAGTTACCAAAAACAAATTCATACTTGTAATCATATTTATTTATTATACCAATTAATGTGGAGCTATATGGACTGAAAATTTGGTAGCGATATTGTGTAGTGTTATTGTTAAAACTACAATAGGACAAACTTTCAGCAATGGACTGTATAGTTGTGAATGCAAAGTGCAGGGACTCAACAAACATTCAAAAAAATTAAGTAAATAAAAGTAATAATCCCAACACTGCTGTTAACTTTAGGTGTTTGCAGATGTCTTCAGGTACAGTTTGATGTCATAATTCAGCCGATTAGTACATGACTCATGTTTTTTCTCTCTCAATGTTTGCCCAGACAGAGAAGTCTATTCTATTATAACTATCTACTTATGCACTTACTACATACCATTAGTTTGGTGCTATTGAATAACATACATTATCAATGATTTCAAAAGGATCCTAAAATAAACGTATCAATATTAATTTATAGAATTTTGAGGGCTCTATCAGATGAAATTACTGGGTTTGTTACTGTTTACATTCTTATATTTTGCATAATATGCAAGTGTTCTCTCTTGGCCTGAAGGCTTAGATCGTTTATGCCTCAGGCCGGCCTATTTTTAAAGCAAACACGCAGTACGCAACTCCACAGGATGTTAATTTCTTCGTTGCATTCGTATTTTTTTAACCAACATTCACACTGTATTTAGATCTAAAATTATTAATTTCTTATAGACTTACAATCTCTACATTTTAGTGATAGCTTTTATCTTCAGATTAGCTTTATTGTCGCATTTCTATATCACTGTTATGAGGTTTTCCTGAAGTTAACGTTGCAATCAGGACTAAACTAGTTTTCAGGCCAGCTAACGTTCTAACCGATTAGCTAAAAACAAACATGCTACCTTTATTTGACAGTAACAGTCATATTACCCGAGTCTGACTGGGTGTAGTTTTGTTTAAAACACAGTTAAATTATTTTGCTTCACATTGAGCCTCCGCCCGTAAACAAACGCTCGGTAGCTTTAGCTTCTTGTTTCGCTTACTGACAGCTAGCTCTTAGCAACGTTTCAGCGAGCCAGCAACCTGTTACCTACCTCCTGATATCTGACGTTGCTGTTTTGTTCTGCCATCGTGGAAGAGGGGTTAAATGTTTTTAACGTCCCCCTCCGGTTTCAGACTGTGAAAATTAACCTTGAATAAAACTAATCTTGCCGACAAAGAAGCAGAAATATGGTATTTCCTTCCACTAGTCGGCCATCTCCTTCCTTCTTTCTCTGAGCCTAGATCGGTTTTGAAGCTGCGTTCAAGGACTGTCGGTAACTGTAGTTCTCCATATATACCTAAAATACGATTCGTAACAATTATTACAGAACAAAGCTAAATAGTATTTAAAAGATACACAGATGTTTGTAAACAAAAAAATACGCTATAATGCTCTTGTAAGGAAAAACCCAACTGAACAGCGAACTTGCATTTTGAGCAAAGTTCGCAAACTCCACAGAAATATGGACGAGGAGCACCGAAAGGCATCATTTAGTCATGTGATCTAAGTGGAGCTGGGAAAAGCAACCAAGCCACACAAGATGTATAAATCACGCATTTTATTACAAAGAGCAAAAATGACACGATGCTGACAATCATTTAAAACCTGACAGCCCGCACTGCGCCATTAAAAATAGAAGAGTGGATGTTCACCATCATCTCTAGCTGGAGTTAAAATTGTAAGAGGAATGATTGGAGTGTATTTTTGTGACATTTTGCCCCATATAAGAGGTATCTTCACTTCTTCTGTTGGGATGGAAGTGTTTCCACTAGCCTGTTGTGCACATGCATCATCCCTGGAAAAAAAAAAAAAAAAAAAAAAAAAAAAAAAATTAAACAAATTTTTAAATAAAATTTTTGA